GTTATATGACTCAGGTACTACAAATCACTTTTCGCCAAACTCAGGTAATTTCCTCAATCTCACCGCTTCCTCCAAAACTCTAGTAACTACCGATGGAAGAATTCATCAAGTAACTGCATCTGGAAATGCAAGAATCAATGTGCACCTATTGGATAGACGTCAATATAGAGTCATCCTTAAACAGACACTGTATGTTCTTTTTTTTCGATACTCATTGGTATTAGAATCTCAAATGAATGATATTGGAATAAGAATAGTAATGGAAAAGAAGAAGAAATTGTTTGAGAAGGAAGGGAAAATATTTATTCTAGTTTATAAGAAAGAAGGACTATGGTATATAAGAATGAAAAAAGAAAGCATTATGATTTACTCCTACGAAGAAAGGTATCAGACTCTTGGGCATTCAAAAGTGATTAAAGATTGTTTCAAGGATACTTCCCCATCAACACACCTTAATACTTTGATTGCGATACCTACAATAAGTATTAATCAACTTATAACGTACCAAAAACTATCGAAATAAGCACGAAATTACTATTCGAAAAAGTGCATTCCGGTTTTAGTGGACATATGTCAGTACCTACTTTTAGCAAGAACGAGTACTACATGAAATTTGTTAACAATTACACTAGGTACTGTTTGATATACTTATTGAAGTCTAAGGATGGGGCAGCTACAGCAATACAGATCTTTTAGGAACTGATAAATACACAATTTAGTTAAAGAATTAAATGGCTACAGTGACCAGAGCACCGAATATGTCAACCAAAATGTTACACAATTCTTCGAATCAAAAGGAATCATTTATACTACCTCTTCTACTTATAACCCTGAATGGAACGGAGTCACAGAAAGGATAAACTGAACTCTTATAACAATGGTACAGTTTATAATACCAGGAGATTAAAAGTCTTTATAGGGGGAAGCCTACTTCACTGCTGCCTACCTATACAACAGACGCTAATATTCAAAAATAAAAACAATACTTTTTAAGCGACTATATGGAATGAAACTCACGATTAGTCACTTATATCTATAGTTCACGAATATTTTGGTATACATTCCAGCTGAGAAACACAGAAAATTTGACCAATCATCTGAAGAAGATTACCTAGTTGTATACACTTTTAATCTAATAATATACTGCATCTACATACTAAAATTGCATACAGTAATTGAAGGAAGAGACATAAAATTCACTAAAATGAAAGAGGTATTATTCGAATATTATCAACTACCAGCGAATAAAACAACAGAATCAGAGGATAAATATATATCCGGAAACACTCCTCAGAACCCAGAATCTCTCTCACTAACCACGACCTTGCCTGACGAGTTTCAGTAATCACCTGAACAAGAAAAATCATCAAAAACACTTCAGCAACTATCAAGGTCAAGACAATCATCAAGAGTTCGCAAACTTACTGAAAAAGCTAAAGCCAATACACAGTAAAGACTGCAAAAGCTAAGCAATAGAAGTGACAAGTTTAAGAAAGCAATTCTAGAAGTTGAAGAAGAACTTGAACTTAGCGATGTTGACGATGACAAACTACAAATTGTCCAAGATCAACACAAAAGACTGATAGAAGAATGAGAACATCTTAAAAGAGAATAGCAAGCAAATGAGTTCGTGAGAGTGATGTACTACATACTAAATCCTAATACATACAGACTAGGAATAAGTTCACCAGAAAAAGAAGAATGGAAAAAGGCAATGAATGAGGAGATGGAAGTTCTGAAGAAACGAGGAGTCTGAGAAGTAGTAGAGAAACCTAGTGGAAGACGAGTGATATCGAGATGATGGGTCTATAAGACTAAGGTAAAAAAATGACAGAACTATTAAAAGACAGAAAGCAAGATACTGTACAAGAGGATTCAACTAGGTATCAGGAGAAGATTTCAAAGAAGTCTACACTCTAGTAGCTCGCCTTAAATCACTCCGAATACTTCTAAGTATATCAGTACAATATGGATACAAACCCCATCAACTAGATATAAAAAGTACATTCCTTTACAGCGATATTGACTATGAAAACTACCTGGAACTTCTGGAAGGATATTAAACACCAGGGAAAGTATAGAAGCTGAAAAAGGCCATATACAGTTTGAAACAATTACCTTGCCTATAGTACTAATTCCTGATGAATGTCCTCGAAACCCTAAATCTTAAAGTTACAGATTTTGACTCCTGTATACTCATGTCAAAATACTTATTCTGCTATAAATCTGTTGATAATATTCTGATAACCGGAAAGCCTAAGCTACTGAAAGAATGTATTTACAAGCTCCAATCCTAGTTCCTGTGTACCGACTCGGGATAAGTATCACTAGTACTTGGCATGCAAATTGAAACAACAACTGATTGTATTAAGATCTACCAAGAATGATATATGAGTGAGTTACTAGAACGTTTCAACATGACCGAAGCTAAACCATATACAATACTGATCGAACCACACACAACACTGATGAAGGCCTCCGATAACGATGAATTGTGTGAACAGCGGACATACCAATCCATAATAGGATCCTTGATGTACACCACTGTTGCAACACAATTAGACATCGTACATGTCACCACCTTCCTAAATCAGTTCTCTTCAAAACCTACCTCAAAGTTGCCAAAAGAGTACTACAATATCTTAAGGGAACAAAAACCAAAGGTCTACAATATGTCCATGATACAAGCAATATACCACTTCAGCCATATAGCAATGCGTCATTTGCCTCAAACCTCGAAGACAGAAAATTATTTACTAGATTAATTATTCAAATGTATAGTCATACAGTAATCTGGTGTTCAAACAAAAAACTATTGCCACCTCAACTACAAATGCCAAATATGTTGCACTCGTCTTTGCAGTAAGATAAAGGGTATGGTTAAGAAGAGGGATGTCACATATGGGAATCAACACTATACCAACTATCCATTACGACAATACAGCCACTATAAAGTTAACTGAAAATGGTAGTGTATCTGATCAAACAAAACATATTGATATACAATATCACTATATGAGGGAGTTGAGGGAAAAGGGAGAAACTGAGGTAAAAACAGTTGATACAGAGAACAACTTGGTGGATATATGTACGAAAGAATTGGTTAGGGTATTATTCAAAAGTTTTCTGATTAGGTTAGGAATAGAAACATAGGAGAAGTGTTGGAAATTACATTATTCCTTTCCTATCCGGTAATGGGGCTGTATTGGTCATGTGACACAGCCACATGACTGAGTATATATGCTATTATACTCTAGCATCTTCTAGAAATTTCCTTGGTATAGGGCAGTGCTCGTGTAATAATAAAGGGGTATATAAAGGGCAGGTTCAGCCCTGTTCTTAGAGAGAGAGCACAAGCTTGGATTAAACTTTAAGTCTTCAGATTTTCATTGTGGTTATCATTGTTACTTCGTTATCATAACAGTTAGTACAATAGATACAAATATTTTCACCCTTCAAGCCAAGTATCCCTCCCGCTTTCGGGTGAAATTCGGTGACACACGAACGAAGGGATGGGCCTGGAGCCCTTGATGTGAGTGACAACCTCTGGCAACACTTATCGGTAGCTCCCACCAGGGTTAGACTGCGCAAGCCCTTCTTCCAACTGACCGTATTGCCGTGAGAACTCGGGTGTAGTATCATAGTTGGGGTCCCGCATTTCCGTAAGTAGGAGGTTGGAGTGCCCTTGCTGGTAAGGTCTAGCACTTTTTATTCTTGTCTTAAGCTCGAGGGGGAGATCAGTTTTCGCTGTGTTATGGCCCCCCATCCGAGAGGGGGTCGTTCAGCCCCTCTGAAAGAGGTAGAAAACATGAGAATATCAGGCCTTGCTAGGGGAACGATGTAGACTACCGGTACTCAAGTGCAGCATATGGTTCAATCGTCTGGGATTCCATAGTAACTTAGACTACCACAAACACGTTCAGATATATCGTACCGGTAGACAATCCATTATTAGAATAGGCACAACTGGGAAAGTTGACAAAATTACGAACACCAGATATTAAGGAGGTCCGGGTAGCTCAGCTCGTTCAACCCATACTGGTGGGTCAGGTGAACTACAAGTACTATCCCCTTCTCGAGGGTGTTTTGTCTTTGGCTGCAGAGATTAGAGGCTTGCAGGAGATGGAGGATTTTCTGAGTTTCTATGGTACGAGTACTTGTACCAGTAGTCTATCGTCCTTGGCTGCACCGAGGGCTTGGCGAGTTTTTGGGGTGCCGGTGGATTTATTCCGTTGGCTTAAGATACTCGAGTATGGTGGAGTGGACTCTCGGCGAATGCCGTTAACGGGATGGTAAACGGTGGTGAAGCTGGGGTTTCCTCTCTACAGTACTCGAGTAGACTACTCAAGTACTGTACTCGTACCGGTTTCTCCTCCATGGACACCCATGCCAAGTGGCTACAATGCTGTGTCACCATACCGCATCTGAGTATTGTTCGTTGGGGAATTCTCGATGAGACAAACGTTCCAACGTGCAGACAATTGGGTGCTATTTTGGGCCCCGAAAAGCGCTGATGCCGGGATTGCAGTTATCTACCGTATCGAGTTCCTACTTGTTTCCGGGTCGCAGAGCCAGCTTCCTCAAATGCCTACTCTTCCTACTTGATGGGATACCGGTACCGCGTACCGGTGGTCCCTCTGTAAATTAAATTTACCTAGATGGGAGAAGAAGGGTTGATCGCCTTCCCTTGCCAAGCTCGCTTACAAAAAAGAGGCATAACCGGTGGTACAGTAATCGAGTTACCGGTATCTTGTACGAGTAAATCGATAACGGTGAACATGAGTGCGTCATGTCTCAACTGCAACCTGGCATAGCGCAACAAAACTGATGAAAAGCATGGCACTGGCACTCTCGGCATCGAACTCAGCCAATAGCATGGTTTGGGGCTTGTTGTATGAGTGCAAGGATTGAACTGGCCTATGATATGAAGCTGTTTGTCCTGGCCGGGTGAAAAAGCCCCCACCACAATTACTGTACCCTACCTATCTCAGCTGGTCCCTCTTTCACTCGTCCTGCGATACTCCTACTCAATTTTGCTTTCTTCCCTCCTCTCCCTCCTCTCCCTTCTCCCCCTTCTCATATCCCCCCCCCTTCTTCCTTGCTCACCATCTGTTGTTTCTTTCACCAAAAGTCCAATTGCTCCCGGATTGGGCCATCATGGTGAATTTCCGTTCATTGCTGGGCACCGGTAATGGTGCTGGGCGGGGTGCCACTGAGGATTTGAGGGAGCATTTATTGCCTACGCATCGGGGGGACCATTTTCACGCATTGGTACCGGCAAAAAGGTTGGCTGTCCAGCTTTGTTTTTGTTTTGCTCCCCCCCCCTGAGAGTGAACAAACTAACTGGAAGTTCCAACCCAGGGTTACCAAAGCTGCATTGAGACTTAAATTCCTGTTTGTTTCCCCTCTCAGCACAGCAATCCTAAAAAAAAAAAGCTTGTTCTAATCATCTCTCAGCATCGAAGCCGCGGTTCCTTGTGAACTAAAAGAAACGCACATCACGCGCCCTCACTCGCAGATCATAACCAAGCAAGTGGTTCTTCTTGCTCAGGAGGCTGCTGGCGATGAGGACAGAGCATGTATTGTTTACTGTCTCCTTGTCTGTCTCCGCTGGTTCAAGCGACAAGCTCGGTTGGAGATGTACGATGCGGGCTTGTACTTGCTGAGAGCCGAGGCTTGTCAGGTCATTGCCAAGCGTATTATCGAGGACATTTCGGAGAATGAGTACTTGTTCCAGGAGGTGCTGCTTAAGAGGTACAGCATTTTGAGAAACGGGCAGGAGAGTACGCCTGCTAACGGTCTGTGGAACCTTTCGTTCGTGGTGGGGATTGCGCTAATTTATTGCATGTAGCTGTTGAGCGAGCGGTGGACCTCCATGCTACGAGAGTGATTGGGTCTTCAGGTTACCAGAAGGTAGGTATATCCTAGTTGCGGGTGATCCAGCTTGACTGACAGTTACAGTGCATCAACTATCTTTGGAGAGGTTGGGTTGCCCAGGATCTAAACGATCCAACTCAATTCTGTGCCTACAAAAACATTGCTGAAAGGGGTTTTTGGATCCATTTCGACCATGACCGTCTCCGAACTCCTAAATACCAAAATGCCTTTCAAGTGCTCATCTCGGTGATTTACTTGATCTTATACACTGTTGCTATCAATACCGTTAACCCCACTGGCGACATCGATGTCGAAGAAGCTTGTCTTTACCTTTTTACTGCGGCCTTCATAGCAGACGAAATGACCAAGTTCTGGAAGGTTGGAAGGTTTTACCTTACCTTCTGGAATACCTTCAATTTAACTCTCTACTCGGCCCTCATCGTATCCTTTGCGCTCAGGATGGTTGCTATGTCTAAGCCTGTGGGCAGTGATGAACGAGGGCATTGGGATCTCATGTCCTACAATTGGCTGGCCTTTGTGGCACCGATGTTTTGGGCACGGATGCTACTATTCTTGGATACAATCAAGTTCTTTGGAGCTATGCTGGTCGTCTTAAAGGTCATGATGATGGAAAGTTTGATGTAAGTTTTCTCGTCATGGGTTTCTGGGAGGGTGGGCTAACATTATAGCTTCTTTGCACTTCTCGTGGTCATTATTACTGGGTTCCTCCAGGGGTTCATTGGCCTGGATAACGCGGATAATAAGAAGGATGCTTCCTTTTTTATTCTCAAGTCTATGACAAAGGCCATCTTGCAGAGCCCCGAGTTTGAAGGGTTTGACAACTTTGCGCGTAAGTAAATTGGGTTTTCTGTGTTTTTGTGCCTGAATTAACCTGGGACCCCTCTAGACCCATTTGGAATTGTTCTCTATTATCTATTCACTTTCGTGGTGATGGTCATTCTCCTAAACGTCCTTATCGCGTTGTACAACCAAGCGTACACAGACATCACCGAGAATGCCGTTGATGAATACTTGGCGCTGGTAGGTCTCTTCTACTACCACCTAAGTGCGAGATTCCTAACTATTGCGATAGTTTGCGGGCAAAACTCTACAATTCGTTCGTGCACCGGATGAGAACGTGTTCCTTCCTCGTAAGTTGCCTTTTGCTGTTTTCCTCTTTGGATTTGCGGTCTGACGATTACATGGCACAGCGTTCAATTTGATCGAGATATTCTTCCTGGTTATACCTTTTGAGTGGTGGATGGAAAGGAGAAAGTACCAAAAACTCAATGACTACGTTATGACGGTCTTGTACAGTCCTTTTATGCTCCTTATTGCATTCCTTGAATCAAGAGAAGCTCGCCGTGTTTCCAGGAACAGGGCAAGAGGGGAGCAAGACGATGACGCTATCGAAGAATGGGAAGAGATGCTGGAGGATGATATCCTGGGTGGAGGATGGTCCGAAAAGGTTGAAAAAACGGTTCCTAACATCGAGGAAAATCCAACTATTCTCGAGATTAAGGACTTGAGGTCTCATCTCGATGAAGTGACTTCTGGTCTGGGGACACGCGATGTTAGTGGTAGCGCTGATGAATCTCCCTGATATATAGTAGAGGCGGGGCATGAGAAAGCTTGATATAGTATGGGTCATATGTTCACAACTTTCCTTATCCTTTCTTGAGCAAAGCAATGTCTGGGATTTTCATATTCTCTTATTTCTTTAAATTTCCTCATGGAGATGTAACAATGTGTCACTGTGTCCTCCATGAAGGTTGGTGGAAACGATCACTCTCCTACTTTAAGAAGCGAAAATACAGGTAGGAACAAGGCCAGCGATTCCGCGTGATATTCTAAATTGATGTGCGTAGTTTAAAATCCAATTCTCGGAAACCAACAAACCAAGACGTCGATCCCCTCCCCCCACCGTTGCCCCATCCCTGCTTGCTTCCCCCCAATAATCAGTCGGGTCCAAGCTCCGATCCAGGGCCCGCCGATCCCCAGCCCAGACGTAAATCCCACGTGCACGGTACGCTGCGCCCACATCTCATGCCGCAACGCGGTAGCAGTACAGTACATCCACCGTTTGATATTTTTTTGAATAAATGAAAGAAAAAAAACTAAAAAAAACTTAGCCCTCATCGATTAAACCACTGTACCAAATTCGGCGCTGTTGTCAATCGATCGATCATTCTAACCCCACGCTTTTCAAGATTTAAGCGGAGTGGAAAGGGGGAGTATATCATAGTTGATAGCGAGGAAAGGGTCGGTAAAAGAGTAGCGAAGAGGAAGAGAAGAAAAAGAAATATGGATGGAACACGGGAAATGGAAATACGGTAAGGGACTCGGGACACGGATTTATGTACAAGTAAAGTAATGTAGGATCGTAAGATAGAAATATCCGCTTTTGGTGTATTCCCGGTTCGTGAACGCGTGAGGGTGGGTGAAGGTTAGGTAGGTATCGTAGGTAGGTAGGAGGGTAGGTAGGAAGGTATGTATGTGAGTTTACCGGGTGGGTAATGTAGATGATGAGCCAGAGCAAGTAGTAGAACCCTCCCCTCTCGGAGAGCAAGTCGGAGTACCCTCCTAAAAGAAAAAAGGTGAAAGTGACATCCTCTCCGATCAACCAACTAACCAGCAAACATATCCTACACAACCTGAGCTAAACAAAACAAACTTTTGCCTCCCCCCACCCGCAAACGGCTTATGCACTGACCCCCTCCTTAAGCTTATAAGTTCTCTTATCCGTCGACACACTAAGTCTGCGGAGACTGGAGACAAGCCCCTTCTTAACTTCCTCGTTCCGGACGCGGTTCTTAAACTTGTCGGCGATGAATTTTAGTGTTACACCTTCGGGATTGGAGGATAGGACTGTGCGGATTTCGGCGTCTGTTATGAAGTCTGTTTGTCCCGTGTCAACTATTTGTTATTCTTCCTGTAACAGGGGGGAAGGGATGGAGGTAAGGGTGTACCTGGAGGCCCAGGGGTGCCCCTCGCCGCCGGAGCACTAGTATTGCCAGCGCCGGCAGCAGCAGCGGGGGAGCCTGCGCGTGATGCCCCGGGAGTGCCCTGTCTTGAAGCTGCTGCCGCTGCAGCAGGTGAGAGTGACCGCCCGCCAGTGGTGATCTTGATCCTTTGCTTCTTACTCCCTGGCCCGTCTGACATCTCGCCGGAGCGCTCGTCACCACTACGTGCTCCGGCGCTCACATCTGCTTTGCGCTTCTTGTTGCCAGCTCCAACGCCTGGCGGTGGCGGGGAAGGAGATGGAGTTGAAGAAGCGATCTGGGAAAGACTCTCGCTGGCAACTTTTAACTTGACGATGTTCTTCTTATCCGTGCCGCCGAGGATGGGGAGAGTTGTTGATTTCCCAGTGGTGCTGTTGGTGGCGGCGTTGTTCTTTTTTGGCTTCTTGCGCGACTCGGTGCCCGACTCTGGGTGCGGTGGTGTGCCTGCACGTTTGAGCTGTGGTTTTTTATCACTGAGTGGGAGAGGCGTACCGGCTGGGTGTTTGTCTTTCTTGTTGGCTGCATTGGGGTGTGGCGCTCCGGTTGTGCCTCCTGTGGCCTTAGATTTTGGCTGTGAGGGGGCGGGGGCGGCGACGGCGGAGGGAGTTGAAGTGGAAGCGGGAGTAGCAACGGGGGGAGTTTTGGACTTGCGGGGATCGGCCTTTTCCTTCTCGGCTGCTGCTTCAGCTTTCTTACGCTCCTCTTCCTTTTTCTTTTCCTCTTCTTTGCGCGCGGTTTCTTCTTCGTCTTCGGAATCCTCGTCGCCCTGGTGTTTTTGATAATGTTTAGTTTGGGGAAAGAAGTGAAACAGTGGAATGGAGGGTAGCTCACACTTGTCCCGTACGGATTGGCGTCCGAGTCGGACTCATATGTGAAGTTACCCTCGCGGTTCATCAACGCTTTCTTCACCCTCTTACCGTGCTTCCGGCGGACCTCTTCGAGCTTTTTCCTCTCGAGTTCCTCCTTCTCCCAGTCACGTTCATCACGGGCGTCGAAGAAGTTGGCGGAGAGTTGCTCCTTTTTGATACGTTTCTATAGAGCGCCACATTAGTAATGCGTAGAAGCGTGTAGAGTTCATCAAGTAACCTCGATCTCCTTGTTTTCCTGCTCCTCCCCTTCCATGATGGGGGCCTCCTCGTCATCAGCAAATTGATCGTCTTCGAAATCCAAGTCATCGTTGTCCGCCTCTCCCTTCAACCTATCCCCTTTCCTAGTGAAGAGGGTTTTGTTGGCTCGGGCATTCTCCTCCAACTCCCTCTGTTTGCTCTCCTTCTCCTCAGTGCGCTTCATCAACCACCTTGGCGGTCGGGCATTCTTCTTCATCTCGAGTTCGGCCTCTTCAGACGTCATGGTGGGAAACCTGTTCTTTTCCTGAAACTTGTACCATTTCTCGATCGGAACCATCCTGAAAGCACCTTCCTCCAACACGAACATAGCGAAGACACCCTTACTCAACGAGCTCTCGAGCTGCCCCTGCCAAGTGTTCTTGTTGTCAAAGTCCTCAATGAACCAAGGGAAAAACTCCTCATACCGCAGCTTCTTCTCAGCGTCATTGCTCTTGAAAACCTGCTGAGTCTTCTTATGGAAGACTTTCTGCTTCTGCTTTTGTGCGCCGCCAAACGGCGCAATCTTGTCCAGATTCGCTTGCTTCTCCGCGTCCTTCTTCGCCTGCTCAACTTCATCCTTCGCTTTCTCCCCGGCCTCCGCAGCCTTGTTCGCCGCAGCCAACTGATTCGCCGCTGCTTCCTCCTTTGCACCTTGAAGCGGCGCTCTAGGATCTCGACGGTGAAGCCTAACCGGACGGGTAAACTGGGTAGGATCGGTAGGGTCGATTTCGCGCTTCGATTGCATCCTCATAACGTGGTGTCTCAGCCCCTTTAACAGTGAAGCTTTAGTAGTCGTGAGCTTGAATTCGTGCCACTCTCCTTCGTCGTCAACAGCGATTGCGCTACCAGTTCCCGAGACCGACGAAGCGGTGCTTGACACAGTTTTAGCGGGGGCTGCCGCTATTGGAGGAGGGGGTGGTGGTGCCGCTAGTTTTTGTCGATTCACTACTGGAGCACGAGGTCGCTTCTGTCGTTGGACTAGCGGGTTGGAATTCGCTTCCCTTCTGCGTGCGACCATGCGGGGGACGGGGCTACCGGTGGTAGGAGCGGAACTAGGAGCGGGAGAAGCCATGGTTGATGAGATGGTGATGGTGGTAAGTGCTGGGCGGGTAGAGACTGTGTTGGTAGGAGTGGTTTAAGGCCACGGAGGCTCAAGAAAACGAGCCAAGTGTCAATCTGCGTTTAAAGGCGACGAGCGGCCTCTCGCACGGTTTGCTTGGTCCCGATTGTGCCTTTGATTTTCTGTTGGGGGGTTTTGGTCCTTAAATGGCAAGTTGTAGGTGTTGTTATGATTGAGAGAGGTGTGTTGAAAGAGGTTGTGGTAGTGGTTGATGGTACGAAGGTGAGCGGTTGATGAGAGAACAAGGGAGAGGGGAGGACGCGGTTCAACTAGGCTCGTTCGGGCCCAATGCCAAGATCACGTGATGGATGACTTGCGTGAAGGTCTTGCAAGGCTGAGGAGCCTCCAACGACGACCCTGAAACGGCTCATATCATATCATACAAGTGTCATAGAGTGGCGGTAGGGCACGGGCAGCGGATTTCATCAATAGAATGTTCACTCTTTAGCATACTGCTATGATAAGGCAGGCAGGGCTCAATGGCACAAAGGCATTCAAGCAAAATGGGCCGTGTGGTGACTGGAGTGGGAAAAAGTGACGGCCTTGTGAGAAGTGCTTCTGGGGCCCGGGTGGGAGGTTATGGGTTCTTTCTTCAAGCCTTGCAGTGCAGTGTCTGGGCTACCGGGGGTTTCTCGAATGCAAAGCTATTGCAAGTTGGCAAGGTCGAATGCTAAGGTTTACCCGCAATTAAGTCAGTCCTAGCAGGTGCCTCTACGGGTTTAAGCATCTACAGGTTAACTCATATTAACTTTCTGATGGACATATATATACAGTATACATTCCTTTAAGCATGATGATTATGATACCAAACGGCGCGGATCTATAAGCTACTGTGAACAAGGGTATTTTGCGGAAGCTGTCCTGTCTGGCTCTCGATGTCTCAACTTATGACCCATTCTCAGCTGTCAGATCCCTGACCCGCTTATCACGGACGGCTTCAGGATGCCAACGTAGTGGCAGAGCCTCAACGACAACCACCGCTTTCGACTCCTCACCCAACAGCAAACCATTACACAGTCACATCCAACACTAAATGGCTCCCCACTCGACCACCATCGACACTGCCCACATCAAAGCCACCGCTCAAAGAGACCTTCTAGACCTTCTTGTTGCTGTAAGTTCGAGGTCAATCTTGGTCTCTATGAAACCTCGCTAACTATCTATTCAGGTACGCGGGAAGAAGACACTCATCCTAGATAAATCGTTAAGCGGGCCTGTTGGCTTGTTTTGCAAGTTTTCTGCTTTGCAAGTACGTTGCTTCATCGCTTGCGTTGGGGGCGAGGGTACTGATTTGGTCGAACAGGATCATGGTGTCGACAAGATATTTTGGTTAGACGAGAATGTTGTTGCCGATCTCACGCAGAAGAATATCGTATTCCTCGTACGGTGCACGGTCAAAAATGCCCTCAAGATAGCTGGTACGTTACCGGGACTACATGGAGAAGTCTCATTTTTTTACCCCGCCCTTATCACCTCGGATGGGACATAAAGTAGGTTGTACAACGCTCTCTCACATTGTACTGCCAGTCTTGCTCCCAAGATTTATTATGTCTTGATATGTTAGCAATATATCATTCCTGCTTGAACGTTACCATTTACGTTACAGGTAGAGAACGATCGACTGACAAGTTCACAGCACATGTCAAGAATAACGCGAAAATTCCGGGCCAGCAATTCGAATATAATGTCATGTTTGTTCCTCGGCGGACACTCGTTTGCGAGAAGATCTTGGAAGACGAAGGTGTTCTAGGGGACTTGACGATCGGGGAGTTTCCGCTTCACTTTATACCCCTTGAGTCAGACCTCCTCTCCTTGGAGCTTGAAGATGCCTTCGAAGAACTATACCTCGTACGTCTCCCGCGAGCCTCTATTAAGACCCCTGCCTGACCAATTTTTATTGAGGCACCACTAGCGCAAGGATCACACATCCATCTTCTACTCTGCTCGCGCACTTATGAACATACAACGTCGGTATGGGCTTTTTCCGCGAATAATTGGCAAGGGGGACTGTGCAAGACGCCTTGCAGATGCTCTGATACGAATGCGCGGCGAGGAGGACGCTTTAGATTCTAGTTCTAGCCCGTTCGCTTTAGCGCCAAGCAGTGTTCTTGGTGAATTGATTGTGGTGGATAGGGAATCAGACTTTATGACCCCCCTACTGACACAGCTGACTTACGAGGGGTTGATTGATGAAACAATTGGGATTCACAACTGTAATTATTCTGGGGGCTAATAGCGTCACTGTGATTATGCTAACTGAGGCTCGGGGTACAGCAAAGATAGAAGTGGACTCTTCGCTCGTTGGAGGCCCTCAGCAGTCAGGCGTTACCGCAGCATCTTCTTCATCTGCCAGTCCTGCCGCTACCTCATCGCAACAAAAGAAAAAACCAATATCCCTCAACTCGGAAGATAAGCTCTTTGAGAATCTTAGAGATACAAACTTTGCGATTGTAGGAAACTTATTAAACAAAGTTGCTAGGAGGTTGAATGATGATTACGAGGGGAGGCATCAGGCGAAGACGGTTTCCGAAATAAGAGAGTTTGTGGGCAAACTGGGGAGCTTGCAGCAAGAGCATCAGTCGTTGAGACTGCATACAGGCCTAGCAGAGGAGATCATGAAACATACTAGATCAGATATTTTTAATAGGATATTGGAAGTTCAGCAGAGTAAGTCTTTTAGCTATTATCTCCCCATACCTTACTAACAATTCAATAGATCTCGCGGCAGGAGTAGATCCATCTAGCCAACACGATGCGATAGAGGAATTGATCGCCCGCAACGCCCCTCTTGAATCGGTCCTCCGCTTGCTCTGCGTTGAATCCCTTGTTGGCCAGGGGCTAAAACCCAAGGACCTGGATAACTTCAAGCGGGAGATTCTTCAGGGCTATGGCTACCAACATGTCCTTACTCTTGCCGCCCTTGAGAAACTCCAACTCCTCCAATCTCGGACATCAATAACATCCTCCACCTCAACCCGAACCAACTATGCAACCCTGCGAAAATCTCTCAAGTTAATAGTCGACGAGGTAAATGAACAAAATCCCGATGACATCGCATATGTCTACTCAGGATATGCTCCTCTCAGCGTCCGTCTCGTCCAGTGCGTTATCCAGAAGCCCCTCATGACTCGTGGCCGACGGGGCGAAGACCCTTCGACACCTGCTGTGGTTGGCACTGCTGTGAACTGGGCTGCTACCGGTTGGCGTGGATTCGAAGACGTGCTTAAGAATGTGAAGGGAAAGACCTTCGACGAGTTACAAAGGGGCGAAGAGAAGGCTGTTAGAGCTAGGAACCTACTTAATGGGGCGAACGAGAAGAAAGTTACGGTTGTATTCTTCGTAGGAGGGTGCACATTTACGGAAATTGCAGCGTTGAGATTTGTTGGACGGAGAGAGGAGGAGAAGAGGGAGATTGTTATTTGCACTACAGGAATTATTAGCGGTGATAGGATGATGAGAGCTGCTATGGAGAAATAATGAAGTAGTTCTATGGCGACAATGATGATTTACGGGGAATTGGATCTGTATATGGTTGAACCGCGGTTAATGACGTATCTTAGTGGACGAAATTTAATATCATAAATAGCTTGACTGCGCAATTCGTCTATAAGGGCGTTAGCAGCAGTGCTGCGAGGTGGGAGTCAACTTTTAGGTTGGTTAAGAACCCAGCGATGCAGTTTCTTCGAGAGACTGCAGGAATCCTGTCTTTCTATGATGGAGATTCTTAACGGAGCGTTGGAAGATCAAAACACACCCTTTTTTTCACTTAAGTGTGGAGTTGGGGTCTCAGAGACAGAAGGCGTATGCTCTATCCACTCGTGGAATATGGGGTAGGCGCAAGAGAACCCTCTGTACATTTCTAATATTATGATAGGATTACTACAACATCGGTCCAAATTCTAGTGGTTGTTTGAAGTAATAGAATAGTTAAAATTCTGGCCTAGTAGTGGTTAGAGGTAATTATGAAGTTGAAAGACCCTTATTTATGTTTTCCATTCTGCTATCATAGTTTTACCAGGCTTTTTTCCGCCAGGTGTTAGTAGCATCAACTTTCAATATTTGTTAAAGCCATTTTTGTATTTTCAAACCCACTAGACCCCCCCCCAAATCGGACTGTTTCTTGGTCTTTTCCTCCCTTCTTTTTTCTTCTAGTAGGTTAGCCTTCCTCCTAATATCTACCGAAACTCCCCTGGCCTCCCGAATGCCTCGCAGCCCATTCAATATCTCTAAATAGATCTAAAGTGTTTACAACATTAACTGTTCCATTCGAATGCTTGTTAAATCTGGTGGTATCTGGCAGGAGAAACATGTGCCAAGAATGATTGACACTAAAAGTATCATAGACCTCATCCTAACCGTGCTTGCTACGAGTTGGAGATGGAAGTTATCACACTCCATCCTAGCGAGAATAGAACTTCGCAAGTTGTTGTCGTTGTCCATATTCCGGGTTTCGAAGCAAGAATACCACCGTGTTTACTATGGCTGTTCGCTGGCCATAATAATTGTAGGAAACTGGGTAAGATATGGCACAAACTATTAAAAAGCAAACCTAAATTCCACCCACATAAATCCTCAATTCTAATTTGCCGGTGGAAAGCTAGTAGTATAAAAGGAGCATTACCAATCCTTCCTTCCTCACCAGACAACACAAAACTCCAACACCCTTAATAGCCACTCTCAAGAACAGCCCCCCAAACCCTCTCACCATGACTAGAAAGACCGAAAATGCGCACAACCAGTACCATTACCCCCCGGAGCAGCCCGCCGTTCAGGTTCCGGCATCTTCAGTCCCGATCCTTCCTCCCCATACAGGCCAGCAAGGCTACTGGATGGTGCCACCCCCTCCCATTCCTGGCGCACTCCCAGGGCAACCCACCGAATGGGCACCCGTAATCGCATATGGGCGGATAAGCCACTCCCAGGAAGTCACCGCCCCCCCTCCTTCCCCCACAAGCCCCGAGTGGACCGCACTGGACGGGGGGGAACCCATCCCTATCGATGAGCCGGTTGAGCGGCGGGAGATGGAAGGTAGTCTTAATCAAGGAAAGAAGTATGCCTTGCTTCCTCCCCCCGATGCAAATGCTCCCGATTCTGCGGCGGGAGATAAAGGACAGGTTCTACCAGGCCTTGGTCAAGGAGTGGATTGGTTTGTTGTTCCGATCCCTGCTCTTCCTGGGAAAGGAGTGAATGGACCGTCTGATGGGCCGAATGCCCCCCCCTCAGAGAGTGACGATGGAGAGCCTAGCTCTAAGGTAAATTGGTTATTTTTTTCGGATTTCATTGGACATGCTAACTATATTTTAGTTGTAAAGTCTTTGCCTCGGATTTCTGGAGAGGGACTACTGGAGTTTCTTTGTGGCGGCGAAAAGCGCGGGGTTACCGGATGGGTAGAGATTTATGGACGAATCCTGGGTATTCCTTTTTCTTGAATGTTTTCTGCCTTGGGTGTGCCCGTACTCTTTTCTACAAACTTCATGATATCATAATATTACAATATCATAATTAGTTTTTTTTTAAAAAAGCGGTTATCTTGAAAAATACTCCTGTGGGGGGACCACTTTCACACGATGCAACGCGCAAAAATAAATTTCTCTACAGAATACCCTTTTAGAATTTTTCTTTTCTTTTCTCCTGTTATCCAGCATGGAAACTTGTATCCAAAACGGGCCAACTTCAAAGAGAAGATTCATGTGAGGGTTGGAAAGCAAGTGCTCTTCTGCTCATTTTATGGCACGGAAAAAGAAACTAGAGGTGTAAAGTTTGAAGAAGAAAAAGAGCGATATTGTGAAATGCTGCAAGCAAACAGGCGAAATATTACACAATTTTCCTGACCTTTTAACATTCAGCCCCCCCATTGCCTGCTTCCTCCGACGTAAGGGGTGAAAGTGCATCTGGTATCTAGCAACGATAGAGAATTTCTCCTTGAAGTTGGCATACTTTGGGTGTTGGGAAAATCTGCTATTTTTTCTCTATGGTGGTGCGCCGAGAAGAGCTTTCATAGAGGGTTTTTTTTTCTTTTTTTTCTTTTTTTTCTTTTTTCAAAAATCATTGCACAAGTTTAGGTATGATACTATACAGGGTGATAGGACAGAAGAAGGTGAAACTCTAGAAGGGTATTTGTAAAGGAAATTTTCTTTGATAGCATCCCACGTAAGTGGTGGACCCCCGATAGGGGTATCCTGCGAAATATCCGTTTCCTTAACAGTTTGTTAAACCGCACAGAAATCAAGCCATAGCATCTAAATCGAGTCGACCTAAGAGTGGAGACCGTCCCCATGAGTTATCTCACCATTCTCCTTAGTGCCCGCCATCCAGAGATTAGCTCGCCGCGACACATCAGTTGACCCGAAGAAGAAAGATATTAACTCTTTGGACATTGTTACGGGCATAGTATCCGGATAGGTGTGGAGGCGCCGTAATTGATGTGGTTAGTTCGAAAGTAGAGAAACATCCCCATACATCTTCTAACGAACCTCCGCCGCGGGGCGGACCCAGAGATACCCGACGGGGGACACAGCTAGTCACTCGGAGTGCAACACATTAGGGACCGCTCTTGTGTGATAGTTGGCTAAGGCTCCGAGATACGCGCCTCCGCGACGCTTCACTTGGGTTTAAAGCATATGTCGCTGTGAGCGAGCAGGAAAGTGTCCCTATGCATCTTCTAGCCAATCCCCGCAGTGCGGGGGATTTAGAGATTGTTTTGCGGCGTCATTTCCGATCACTCGAAATATAAAAACGGATATTTGTGTTCTCGCGATGCAGTAAGTCAGGAGGACCGCTCCCAATAGCATACCTCTTGTGCGTGTGGTGCCTTGCTGGTTGATAGGGCACCGGAGAGCTTAAGAGGCGGCTCAATAATCCCTCTCTGCCACTGCCCCACTCCCGTTCTTGGAGATTGATGGAGGGGTTGGGCCCGAGTCAGTACCGAATTCAAATCAAGCAGCAGCTTGCCATGCCTCTCCTCTTCTTCTTCCCTCTCTCTTCCCTCTCTCTTCCACTTTCATCATCAACACACTTCCTTCTCCCGCAACCTAGTCCATCCACCTTCCTTGGTATTTGATGTTTCAGTCCTTGTTAGAGCTCTTGCTAATCCATATCACGCCCCAGTGATTCCACGCGTCAGAAATATGTCGACCAATAACTATCAACCCAACTTTCCCTATGGCGCTGTTGCTCAACCTGCCGCAGGGGAGTTCAACACTGGTGCCAACCAGGCAACCTCTCCACAGTTCTTTATTATGAGGGCACCTGCGGGAGGCAATTCCACCACGGCCGTCGGGGACCCGAAGAACAAGGGCGCGGCGAAGGATTATACCTGGGTCTTTGCCCAGGAATCCCCGTACTATGTGGCCCAAAAATCCACTAATTCCGCCCCTGCCCCCGTCCCCGCCCCCGCCCAAACCGGGCAGTCGGCCGCGACCAAAGGCCAAGGTTGGGCAGCAGTAGTCCCGGTCTCTGCTAAACCCGCGGTCAAGGAACCTGGGAAGCTTAACATTGCTGGATTTTGCGTATGTTGTTTCCATCCCCTGCTTCCTTCCAGACATGTCATGGCTGATGAGAATGATAGTTGTAGAATCCTGGCGCTCGAGGGAGGATGTATTGGGGCATTTGTTTGGGAATTTTTTGGGTTATTCTGTTCGGGGCTTTGAGTTTATTTTTCGTTTTTTTCCTGTTGGCCAGAGGGTAACCGAGATTTGTTCCTTATTCTGTCTTGATCAATTGATTTCTTCTCCCCTTTATAAAATGCCAATTTCACAGTGGGGCGCGATTTCCTGCATGGCTGCTGTTTACAGCACTTGCTAGGAAGAACAGTCTGCCCTAATCTCTCTCCTTAGGATCAGTTGTGGAGTCTCTGGTCTGGTTCCATATATCATAATCAGCAACCAGGGCGCATTATATCTTCCCCCCTGTCTGAGGATAGAGCTCTGGTATCTAGCGATTAGGTCTCTCATAATACTCGAACCCTTCCTTACTCAAATTTCAATCCTGGCACATCGGCGTCACAGATTATGACGCGGACAATGCCAACATGCCTTGTCACTCGATCATGCAGAACCCGCTGCGGGTGCAACCCCAGTCCTAACCGGGACCCAGAAGGCGTTGTCACAAAGAAAGGATGATCAAAGGAATGCGGTTATGTGAGAAACATGGGTATGTCAGCATCACCTCAATCCCTTCTTTGCCGTTCTTGCATGAAGCTATTAGAGCGGGATAGAATTGCGCCCGGCGAATAAAATCCTGGGGATTATAGCGATGGCCAGCGATCTTAGCATGATCGCTAGAAAGGAAAACTTAATACTATCGAACCAACCGCTCCTATTTTATTCACGTAAAATTTATGGACGCGAAAGCATCTAAGGCTGTCGTTGGGCAATTCTACGAAACCCCCCAGAGCCTATCATCAGACAATTCTAAGAAACCCCTTATGGCCCATAAAAGCGTATCCAGGACCTTCTCGTCCCCCATTCTTCGTACATTGCGCCCATCGCTTCTCCGCCCCCCAACACACCAACCAAAGATCCACTATTAACACTGGTATAAAATGGCTGACAATCAACATTATCATCTTGGAGCCGGTTGGGCTCCACCAGCTCCACCCCCGGACCTCTTCGTCCCCGCGTGGGTGTTTGGGGCACCCGCACCCCAGGCCCCCCCAGCCGGGCTACCCATTCAAGCCCCAGGGGCCGCGGACCCACCTCCACAGTGGTTCGCCATCGCCGGAAGCGAAAACCCCCCTCCTGTCCCCGCCCCGGCTCCTGCTGCCCAGCAGAACAACGCCCCGCCCGCCCCCCCTCCACCCCCGGCCCCGGCCCCGGCCCCGGCTGCTGCTCCAGTAGGTGGGCCAGACTGGTTCATCTCACCAGTCCTGGCTCCGGGCCCGATGGGACCCCCTCAGAATCCGGCAGGCTTCTTTGTAAATCCCTCTTGAGCTGAATCAATTATGGAATTTTGCTAATGGTTGGTAGGGGTAAACGTCCATGGGTATCCCATATTATTCATTGATGTGGGAAATGGTGAAGGGATATATAGGGGAAAGGGTTGTATTTGTTGATGGTTTTTCGTTGCCCCATTCGGGTTATCTCTTTTAGCTTCTGGGAGAAGGTGCGGTATGGGCCAGCTACTCGAATATGTTCGTTTTGAGGTTCATGTAAGGTAGCCTATATATGGCCTTCATAAGTTTCAAATATATCGATATTCAAAAAGCAAAAACCACCTTACCGTGAGCCCTGAATTCAAGAGGTCATAATGGACAGATTTCTTCTTCTCCTATCCCAAATCCCGCGCAACAATTGAATTGGTTTGATAGCATGGGACCTACTGCATGTCTCCCAAAATTCTTTCGTCCAAACTTCATAAACCCTGGACACGCTACTCGCCTAGGACTGAGCGCCCAGCCCAGAAATATATGATAGCAAAGCATTCTGTTTAGGCAAGTATCATAGTATTGGAAATTTCTGATGATAGTCATCATACCTCTCGTCGAAAACCACAGTCTCTAACAGTGCCAAGATCTAATATCCGGTAATTAATGATCATCGTCAGGCGATTATAAATAAGTATAACCCCCCCCCACCCCCCTCCAACCGAGTCCCGTCACCGTAATCTATTCATTGTGCTCGAGTGGTAGGTAAATTTCGGGATATATTATTCCTTTTGCTAGGCACGGTATCATAGGAAACCGCACTGTGATCATCATTCCTCTTGGGAATCTGACAGTAATGAGAGCATGACATCCCCAACCCCCCCCGAGCACTACCGAGTGTGATAGTCGTAGGAAGCATGCTAGATATGACTTGTCCATAGAGCAAAAATTAACTCTGGCAGCACCTCGGGGGAACAAATCTAAATTTGTTTTTTTCCTGAGCCCGCAATTCTGGTGCGGGCAGAAGCTCCCCGCGGGCCATGTTACTACTGTGGATAAAGAAGAAGAATGAAATTTTCGGATAATGAATTAGCGCGGCGATGACAAAACGAGATATGCACCAGACACGATCTCTTCGGAACGCGAGTGACAATCCATGACAAGATTCAGCTAAGAAAAAGGTGGGGTTACAGTAAGTTAGGCCTCTCCTTTTCATAATATTCCCCTTGCATAAAAGCTGCAGCAAAGTTACACGGTTGGCTTGGTGGATGCGCAGTGCCACAGTGGCAACAGTGGCGTCGCTGGGGAAAACCAACAACTCCACCCCGGCGCTTACTCTAACGCTTGAATCTTCACCACTCGAGCGAGTTGTGATACGCCACTGCATTGTTCTATGGTATCACAATATTTTGATACATACCGTAGCTCGTACCAGTACTGTACGAGTACTATAGGGTACCGGTATTATTATTTATCGATAGCGATGGATATCCTTATTGTATGTGTGCCATGCTTACTCGAGTAGGTGATTTAATCTACCGGTATGTACCCCGGGCTGGGTCTTGGACGAACCCGTCCCAATAAATTATGCACTCCCTGGTTGTGCTACGATCACCGGCAGTTGTTGCCGCTGCGTGTGTCACGGTGGACTTTCCGTAGAAAGGGTGAAGTGGTCTCTCTCTCCGCCAGGTTTGAGAAACTTGGATACTGTGTCATAACCCTTTTTCAACCCTCGGGCTGGGTGTCTCCTCTGTTTAATTCTCTTTTTCAACGTGTATGTACGAGTAAAGATGATGTAAAGATATGATATGGGATTTCTCTTTTGTGCGAGTGCCGGTTTATATATAGATTAACTCTCTCCATTTGGTTAAGGGTTTTTTACCCCTCTTGTGGGAAAGTCCTTGGCTCCCCCCGCAAAGTCTTGGCTTCGTTGTACTCGAGTACTTATTCGTACTCGGCCTAGCTCCATTTCTACCAAACTTGCTGCCTCTCTCACTCTGCCTACTACGCCCCTCGTGGTAATCTGACGAATCTTTCTCGTCCTCCTCCCTTCCCTTTTATTCCGCTTTCTCTCTCCTCCTTTCCTCTCCTCCCCCATCTCCCCCCTCCAACCCTTCATTTCCTTCGCCAAGATCACCTAACCTACCGCTATTGCTGACTCGACTTCTCTTGACAACGAGTGGCCACTGATTGCTGGTGTTCCACACTTCTCGCGGCGTACCTAGCCCGTCCTTCACCCAGCCGGGCAACGACGCTCTAGTAAACGCTCTTCCATTTACGCCCCCAAACCCTTCACCGCTGCCACCGAACAGGATGCCGGCCCGTGCAGTTTTCATCGCCGTGTCGGCAGCTATAGCTGCTGGCATCGTGGTTTACCATGAACGCGAGAGACTCCTGGAACTTCTCGACCGCACTAGTCGGAAAGTTGCCTTATCGCTCTCACAGATTGCGGAAGACTTCAACCCACGACCACGACAAACGGAGCATCCCATGACCAGTAGGGCACCCCCTCGACCGCGAACTCCGAGCGAGGAACAGTGGACAGAGGAGGAGAAAGCTTTCATCTTTGACGAGAAGCCTACCGATACCGAGGCACGCAAGCGAGACGAGGACACTTTCGGCGCTGCCTCTGGCTGGGAGGGACGAGATGGCGCGGCTAGAGACGTAAGACGCCGTGGTTCTCCACTCGCCGCTCCGGCAGACGGTTCCGTCCTTTTCGACACTGCACCGGCTTCGCCTGCCGGGTCCTCCACCCCAACGGGAACTGCCGTAAAGGTGCCCGGCTCTGTTACGTGTACTTCCTTCTCTCGCCGCAGTTCGAGTGCCACACTTAGTGGCGACAGGGCTCTACCGAATCTTCCTCCTCCCCTACCACCGAAGCCTCAAGCTCTCGCCCAGGAAGCCATTCCGACGGCCGCAGCAGTGGCGGCAGAAATTGTTTCCCCCCTGCAAACACCCGATGTTCTTGTCACCACCGCAAACGCAGACTCCTCGCGAACCGCTTCGTCAAGCAGTGATCACGAGGGACGCCAGACTGAAAACCCCTTTGGGAACTCGCAGCCGTACTGGAGCATTCACGAGTGGGCCGAGAATACCACACTAGGTAGCGGCAGTAGGTCACCGAGCATTGCTGGCAGTGCAGCCGAGGAAATTCCACAGCCCGCCGATGAGATCTTGAGTGAATTCGGATCCGAAGATGAGAGCGTGGGTTCGTGGACTGAAGTTGGTAGCTCCATTCACAGCGACGACGATAATTAAGCACGTTTTTCAGTTGCTTCATTCAACGCATCTGTTTTGTTCACAAATGGTTTCGGATAAACAGTTCTGGCGCGCGCGTGAATTCCTTTTCTGTGTGTATCTATAAATTGTACGGATGGGGCTCATGGGAGAGACGAGATTAAGGGGGAAAGAGACGAAAACAAGAGAGGAAGGAAGGAGAAATTGTCAGATTCTTACACCGCTGGATAGGGGGTTAACATCAGGTTTTTCGTGATTTTTTCCCCTCTACTCGTTTCTTTGCTCTGATCTTACCTTCTCATCATTTACTCTCCCCCATTTCCTTTTCTTTTTTTTCTTTTCCCTCTCTCTCTCTCTTGTGGAGTGGTCTGGTTTACATTTTCGCGCACTTCTCCCTGTGCTTTCCACTTTCTTTTTCTCCCCGCCTAACGTTGCGAGGGAAAACAGACGGGCTGGTAAAATTATTCCTTTTTAATGTCTTCTTTCCTTCTCTCTCTTAGCTTTGCCTGCTTGCTTGCTTCATCACACCCTGTCCTATCTGTATTGGGTTTCTTTTCTTTTTTTTTTTTTCTTCTTCCCAATTTTATCCATATATACAAGTGAATGTCTAGGGTTGAGCGCTATGGCGAGAATTATCATGTGCTTTTTGCGAGATGGTGATTGTCCTGAGTGAGCGTAAAGGGTGCATGCAGGACATGTAACGAGTGAGAACACATGATGGGGACTAGGACGTAAGCTTTCAGGGATGTATTGTGGGGACGGGGAGTAGTTCTTCCGTGCTGAGATTGGGGTAACTATGATATATGGGTGGTGTTGTGGGGTATGCCATTGATTTATGGAGTTATTCATGTGCGTGCCAGGTGAGGTATCATCTTGCTTTGCTTTCCTGTACTCGTAGAGTATTCGAGGTGTATGCTGTGGAGTAAATGGGGTTAATACCGGCCATTTCTCAATGAACATTGTTATTTCCAACATTTCCAACCCACGATCCCCAAACTGGCTCGGTCTGGACCTCGTAAATATCACCTCTGCCTGCCTGCCCGTGAGGTCTAGGTATGATGGTACAGCATGTTATCATCTCCTTGAGTCCATATTATTTTGCGAAATGAGTACAAAAGTGGGAGTGAAGGAAAGTCTAGGCCAAGATACTGTATTACATAATCATTAGAATAATTGTTAGCACAACCCGGCTACCGTATCTCCAGACTTCCGCCACGGTATTCGCGAAGACCGCCCTCCCCGCTAAATTTAGGTATCATGGACGCGAAGGGAGAGGAAATCTTGAAAACGGAAGGTGATAGTTTTTTTTGTATTTTTGCTGGTTGTGCTGGTTACTATAGTGCATTCATAGCGTGGCTAGATGGCATCTCCGCCGAGATCTTTGAAGGTCTGAGCTATCATAAAGTACTGCAATCGCTTGGATTCCTCTTATGATACCGGTAGTATAAACCAAGCTTCCAATCCGCTCCAACCGGCCGCCTCAAGGCCCCACCCACACACATATATATATATAATGCGGGCCGACTACGGACTGTGTACTGTACCAATCCCCACAAGGAAGCCGCGAAAACCAACCGGATTGAAAAAGCCACAGCGGAAGATGAGCAGGGGGAACGGAAGAAACAGGGAGGGAGGGAGGGAGGGGAAAGGAATTGGTAAAAAGGTGATGTCTGTTCATTAAATCTTGTGGGCATTCACAGGTACAGTACAGTACAGTACAGCACAACTCCCCACACGTGGGATATTTTTTTTTTCTGGTGATTACATATTATTATTCCGGTATCGTTGTGGGGTCTTTGGGGTTGAGGTTTGAAGAGATATGATACTGCACAGCACTCTATCATGGATCGGGGTGCATGGCCCCCAACATTTAATTAAAATAATAAGCTTATTCGGTCCCCCCGCAATTCCCCTGTGCTTCTGGAAGATCCTGATTAGTCAACGGTTGGTTAACGTGGAGGCGCTCTTGGAGTTATGATCTGAACTCCTGGTGTGCGGTATGATACTCTCTAGCTTCACTGCGCGGTACAGTACACAGGGGTGTCATTAAGAATTCGGGGGGGCTACTTACTCCTCTAGAGGGTGGGGTACATGGGCATTATTTAGCCGGAGGGTCATGAAGTCCCGGGGAGAATACAATGCTACGATTTGAAGTCGCACCCGACTGAACGAGTGAGGATATGTGATGTTTAGGAAGAATTTTTTATCCCGATGAATTGTTAGGAAATTCGGCTGGTTCCAATTCCGATTTACGCCCCCCCCCCCCATCTACTTGTACCATGTTGCTCTTGGAATACCGGTACCATACTCGGTGGCTACTCTCAGATTTCTATCGTTTCCGAAAGACCCCATGGTTGTATTGCCATCCAGGAGAGAAACCGGACGATCACTTTTTTTCCGACTCTCTATAACCCCGAGTACGAGGTTCTGCGTAAGCTATGATACCATCGGAAATGGGGGGTAGAGTACCCTATTTCGAGACCGAACGCAGAGAAGAACGCGGCAAGGGTGAGAGCAAGTAAATTTCGCCTCGGTGATTTCTGAGGATTTTAATGTGCCTTGACTGAAGATATTTTTTGTCTGTAGTATATAGGTATGATATACCCGTATGTGATGGAGGGAAGGTGTTATACTGGGACTCCAAATTGCCGACATGAAAAAAATAAAAATAAAAATGAAAAAAAAAAAAAACTAGTCAAGTTGTTTGGTACTGTACAGCCTGAGCTGACAACAACAGCGATTGGGACAACCCATTTTGATCTATGATATGATACCCCCCTTTTCGTTCTATAATATAGTAATCCTCATGCCAGGCTGAATGATACTCTACCCGAGTATGATACAATAGCGTTAAATTTCGCACTCCAACTTGTTGAAGCTTCCAGATCGATGTTGGTCGATTGAGATAGATTGTGGAGGTTTCGGGAGTCTGGTGAAGATTTCAGAAGTCTAATGGATTAGTGTGGAGGTTGAGAGATTGACAGGAGATTCTCCGGACATGTTCTTTCCTTTTGTTATCACGGGAGTGTATGGAGGAAAGGGTAACATGCTCGCAGAGATACGGATAGGTGTGGTGATTCATGGAATGATGGGGATACGTTGTTTATGTTTTACTTATACACCTGTCTTTACCGTTTTTTTGAGCGAAGCTGTTTTTACCTTACCTTACCCTTTTGTGCACGTCCTACCACAGCCCCCACATAGTCCTTTAGTGTTTTTCTCTACCGCTGCGCAAGTCAGTATACTCCTCCGTTACAAGACAACTTAATTCCTAAAACCGCCACCATATCAGAGAACCCACTAAGCAGGATAACGCCCGAGCTATTAAAAAAAATAATACTTTTTTCCACACAGCCAATCAAGATATTAATGAGTAAGTTAATATCCATCAGCCGGTTATGATACCGCCATTAACGTGGAGAAAAACTCGGCAGAATGGGACGGAATTACCCCTTCCATACCGCAGTGATCCATATTGAACCCAAAGGTGAAATAGCTAACAAGTGCTGTTGATTTCAAGATTCATTCATACCTCTGTATTTGAGGTTGGTGATACCGTAATTGTACCGTACTGTACAAATAAATTCACATACCACCCTATATAATACATAGCTCATGAACTTTGGTCAAAAAAAAAAAAAAAAAAAAAAGTAACTTTACTTGATTGCTGACAGGATCCATCATTTGGGACAACACCCTGGTGGTGCTGACGAAATTGGGTTTTTACAGCTAATTGTCCCTTGTGGTCGTGTGACTACACTATATGTAGGATTTACGAATAATCACATCATATTCCATTATAGGCCACCACATCATGAGATAAAATGTCAGTATTTTCATACATTGGGCTAGCGCCAATGATAATTTGTGCGGGAGCTGGGGTGATTGCACCCCTTACCGAGTGATATTAAAACTATTATAAAAAAGACCATGTCCACAATAGAAAATAAAAACCAAAAGAGTAGAAACTAACACCACACGCTAAATATCCCTAGGAATGGACATGAATCCTGACTTAAAAAAGGAGGAGGAAGAAAAAAAAAAAAAGGAAATTCAAACACAGCTCGAGGATTGAAACACGGCTACCACATCAAGAGATGTCCCACAAATTAATTTACTTCGCTGATAGCTCCAATCGACTTGTTCCAAGAATCTTGGAATATGCATCTTCAACCTCTCTCGCAATTTCCAGGAGCGAGACGATGACAATCTATGAGGATGTTAGCACTCGCAAAACATGATCGGGTCGAAATCCCATTATCCTTTTACTTACTTGATGAGTTAAATTGGGCAAACGATCTCGGTGTAGCCCAATCCATTCAAGCGGTGGAGTAGCCTCCCCCATATCCCTCAATTGTGGAGTTTCAATAATCGGTGACTCAAGAGCGTTGTACTCATATCGAGACTGGGGAACGTTGACAACCGCAGTTATTTTGCCCTTTTCTTTCTTCTCAGACTCCCCACCTTCGCCCGATAATTCAGATGGGGATGACGAAGCGTCTGTATTTATAGTGATATGCGGGCTCGATACTGATTTTCCTTGTCGCTGTGCTATGGATTTGACATGTGTTGCCCACATCCTATTATTTCGGGGTTAGCTTAGCACAAACACGACGAAGATCAAATAATACATACCCTTTGATGAAGCTAACTCTAGAATAGTTCCACCCCACGTCTACCTTGCCTTCGAACGCGCTCTTAAAAATATAGTCGATATCCATCGACCCTGCTTTGTTCCAAGTGTGCATAAACGCTGTAACCTGAGGAACCTTCAATATTGTCCCACCCTTTGTGGCTCCGGAGTTCCGCACGATGTCTTCCACAGTAAAATCTTGACTCAGAACCTCAGCTCTTCGGATCTGAGATAACGCAATCCTGAGTTCCCCCAAAGTCATCTCTAGTTTGCTATGTAGCCTTTCGTCCTCCATCTCCACAGCAAATCTGGCAGTAGCGTTCAATGCCTCCATTTTGAAAACCTGGTTGTCGTAGAAAGTGCTGGGGAAAGTGCCAATATTGACCTCCTTGAGGCTCACCACAACATCGGTGTGAAGCGATAAGAAAGTTGGTGGATGTGCTTCCTTGTGGATCGAAATAGAAGGGGCTGAGGGGGGCGCGGGGAAGTTGTGGTTCGATTGCAAAGGCCTGTTCAAGTACCTCTCTACGTCCTTTAGAGAGGTTTGATACGATGCTATTTTCTCTTGAGCAAGCCGGAGAAGCGCTTGGTAGAGTGCAAGACCTTGGGATGCGCTCTGCGCCGTACAGTAAACATGTACTCTGTCTCCATCCAGCACTCCCACCAACCGATCTCCCGCATTCCCATTATCCTTCTGAACGTTGTACATGAGGAAGGAAAAGCGAGTAATATCTGCAACTAAGAAGGCTTGGTAATCAAAGGACGTTTTGGCCTGGAGCTGCTCAAGGCTTAACGAAGCCTGAATAAGGGGAGCTCGAATGGCGTCATCAGCAGCAGCAGAGCGCCAATGTATCGCAGTCCGCGCTTTCAAGTTTTTCAGGTCAACAAATCCGCTAGCACGCCCAGTAGCAGACGCCCTTATAGTGTCAAACCCAAGGCACATTGTTTGCTCCCAATCAGAAGTCTTACGAGAGTCGACCCAAAAGTTCGAAATAAGCAAAGCAGTCCTTCCTAGCGCTTGCCCAAGGTCCAATTGTAGATCAATCTCTGAGATCGCCACCGTCGTGTTCCACGGAAACGCCTTGGTAGCTGCAACTTTGTGGTATCTTTGAACTAACATTGGAGAAGGCTCCGATGATGTAACAACCGGAGCAGGTGTACTTGAGCGAATTTCTTCGGGAAGCCAGATCTCTCGGAAAAGTAGAAAGTCTTGGAATTGCTTGACATTGAGTAAAGCTTTCATTGGGCTGAGCTTCATGATGCATGAGAGGCCTTCGGATCCGTTAAGGTGTTTGTTATTCATTAATGAAACAACCACCGACTCAACCTCAAGGTAGCCGGTAGGTTCTCTTGAATAGACATGGCGCACTGAAGTCCGCAATCCGGCTACAGTGGCTGAAATGGCATAGAAGCGCCCGCTTTCCGGATCCTCACAGGTGCTAACAGTGACATAAATCTCTTTATACTCAGTAGAAGCTGCTACTCGCGCAATTGGCTGACAACTGAGAGTAAACTCTTGCTTACATATCCTCAAGCCGATGTTGAGTCTACAGCGTCCAAGAATCACTGCTGGATCAGGGGGAGACTCCTTCTCGCCCTGAGACGCTTTCGCATGCTTATCCTCTGGCCTAGCTTCCTTGGGGTCTCGCATCACCTCCTTCACATTGGAGGTCATCTCCAGTATCAGAGGCACTACGGAAGGGTAGAGAGTATTGCTTGAAGCGCTGACCTTAATCTCTGCATTTAGTGATGGGTCCTCATTCGGAGGCGCAACATATTCAGCCTTGAAAGCCAGTCCGGGGGACCGAAGGATTGTTGTGCCGTTTGATTCTCCATGGGCAAATTGCCCGTAACGGCCCTGTGGAGTCCCCACCCCTCCTCGGGTGGACGACAGCCCGGGAAGTGTAGGTGAATCCGACACATTGCTAATACGGACAACAGCTCCAGCAAAATCTGCATCTACTAGAACCGAGCCTAGTCTTTTGGTTCCGAACATATTTTCCCTCTCGGCACCACTTTCAGTTGGAGTCGACTTCCATGTTGCTGAGGCGTGGCGTAACTTCTCACTCGCTGTAGCGATGGAACTTTCGAGATCACTAGCTGCGAGGACAACTGAAGAGGTGGCTCTTAGGTCTAATGAAGTACCTTTAGCTTGGATCGCCAATCGCCGGTCCGATTGATTGACGAAACAAGCAACGTTGAAGATCACCTCTGGCATGAGCGCTGAGTTCTCAGACCTGGCCGATTGTTTCCGTTCAGTATTCGAATCCACCACCTCCAGCAGAAATTCTTCAATCGTAAGACACGCTTCGTTCTCCTTCCTTGTAGCTGTAGCGAAATCAATCCGCTTGAACGACAAAACGAGATTCTGCCTTGAATCGTCGCTCGAATGAGAGGAGCCAGAATTCCCCACGATCCACGACACCTGGATTCCCATCATTTCAACAGCGATCATAGAACTAAAAAGCTCAATCCCACTCTGACCAGCTTCGGCATAGTCCACCGCGATGAGTGGCTTCGATTTGCGTAGCTTCCTGAGATATTTGACTTCTCTTGAGAGATCCAGGTCCTTCAACCTGTCCTGTAAATGTCCAGCGACATCGACGATTGTTGAGGCAGTCTCCGCAAAAAGATCAACCCGGAGCGAGCGACTCTTAATAAAGAAGGCCCTAACAGATTTGCCCCGCGGAGTCTTCTTAGTTGAGAAAAGAAGAGAAGCATGAAGCTCAACATATCCACATGAATCCAGAGCCCCATGTATGCCAACCCGATCAAGCTCAACCGTGATCTTGCGGAACTCCAGATGGACCTCAGGAATTGAAAGTATATCTAAATCGGGTTTAGGTCTATTGGAGGCATGTACTTGAATAGAGCCGAGATCAATCTCCAAACTCGCGGAAGGGGCAGACGTTTGTATTTTCAAGCCGGAAATGCCTGCATGTGCACGATACACTAAAGGGGCATCGGATTTGGCTGAGGATGCGTGAGCATCCTTAGAATTCCTGAATATCTCGCCAAGTCTCGCTTGGGTGCCAATCCATTCAGCCCTGGCTTCATCAATAACATTTGTAACCTCTGGTTTGTTGAGCGCATTGAATAAGCTCTGGAGTGATGATGCGTCAAGCTGAATAGCTTCCACTGAGAGAAAAACCTCCAACAACCGTTCTTCAGCGGAAATACAATCCCTAACTCGGCCATTGATGGCCGGTATCTGCAATGCCGATATTCTTCTCGTCTGTTGCCTATCATAACCTGTTCGTATCTCGTGTTCGTGATGAAGAACATCAAAATCAATAACCATTTCCTCGGTAGCATTTATGGGTCGAGTGGAGAGCCTGACACCATTTCCATGCATCAGATAAGCTAAAGACGGTAGAAGAGTGGCCTCAATGCTGAAACTCTCCAACGAGAGTGTCAGGTGAACGACGTGAATAGTCCTCTTTAAGTATGAAGGGCTTTTTGGTAACGAGTTTGTGACCGAATTTATATGTTTCATCCCCTGAACAAGCTTCCATATCTGCGAGAGCTCATCGTTAACTATGACATCGATGACTTCCATAAGCCCTAAAACCTCCTCTTTGATATTGAAAGATATGCTCCCGCAAGAACCCGCGATCTTCCAGATATTAAACCGAGTTACAGCCAAGCAATGTTCATCAAAGTGGCCGTAAAGGCTTGGCTTGTGTGCTCTTGCCAAGCTCAAAACTTTACCAGTATAACTTAGCTCTGAAGTCACTAGGTCTGCCCTTAACAGAGCACTGCCAACTAATGAATCTTGTAGCTCTATGTTTTGTTCCGAGATAAATAGTGAGGCTTGCATCCCGTAAGCTATCGACAAGCTCTTAAGATTCACCGTGTCCAGAGAGACCGATCCAGTATCCATAGTCCAAAGGAGATGGAAGCTTGGTTTCTTTTTTCTAATCGTGCCCGCAGCCCTTAGAGAAGACTCGCCTGATGAATGAGGTTTTGTATCTCCCTCACGACTCACCAGAGCATTCGCTAGTCCCTCTGCGATATCCAAAATTTCCCAAGTCAGAGACAACTCAATGCTGCGGCAATGGACTTGCACTATTACCGACGCTGATATGCTCGAGCCTAATTCCGCTGCCAAGAGTCCGCCTGAGTTGCTCTCTCCGGGGCTGCCTACTGAAACGGCAGTAGAAATGTTGCGAATAGAGAACTCGCACTGCATCGGGCCTGGATCAACGAGTAACCTTAAGCTTGCTAGCATAATTCGAGCCTTTGTGGTACGTGGAATAACTATAGTACCACCCTCTTTAAGATCACTCCCGAATATAGCTCGAACCACGAAGCTATGTTCTAGATTTACCAATTCCCAACTCCGCCATCTCTCGAATGCCCCTACTACCTGCCGCCTTGCATCAAGAGGACAGTTTCCCATATTTCCAATGCATTGTCTGTCCACATCTTGCTTGTGTGCTGCCGAAAGGGATTGATAAATATGGCGCATTCTAGACATAACCTTCCAAGAATCGTGGACGCGGACGTGATCCAACGATGAACGAAGTACGTATGACGGGCGAGTTAGTGAGGGCGGATCACCCACTACCCCCGACTCAGGTCTAGCACCTGCGACGGCGAGCCCATAGGCAAGATCCCGCATCCGGTTACGCTCGCCAGAAAGAACCCCGAATGCCTGTTCAATATCTCCAATAAGAGGAGCAGTCCGACCAATAGCGTCGTATAAGAACAGTGCTTGCTTGCTTTGTAGTGAGGATACAACGTTTTCGATCTGCAGAGATGCATTGGAGGTCTCGTGTGTGGAAGCCCAGAAAAGTAAATCTTCTACCAGAATACCCAATGCTGGCTTTGTAAACGGGTCAGATGACTCAGCCAATAGCTGCTTCAATGTCAACTCCAATCCATCCAAAAGAAGGTGAATCGAAAAAATCCGTTTTACTGGATCAACCTCCAGAGGGTTCGGACTCCGTTCGGGGAATATTGTCTTCGACCTAGCCGCAATTAAGAAGCCTCTCAGCTCAAGGTTAAAAGAGTCCTCATCTGGTTTCTCGTCACCAAAGTTCTGGACACTGTTGGAAATCTGTTGTGGTACCGGATTGGTGAAGCAGAACTTGAGTTGGGAGAATTTCAAGCAGACTTCGATTATCCTCGAGTCGCTGGATGGGCGGGCAAGGCCGGCAAGCTTCTCAACAACATCTTCTTGGATATTGTCCAGAATATCCTCAGGGGTCTATTGTATATAACGTTAGTTAATGAGCAAACCCGAACACACGTACGGCCTACCTTTGCTTGCACGCAATCCAAAAGCCGTGCCACAGCCTTGATGGCAACCGCCGTGCAATGACCCCTGATTCCAGGCGTAAACTCAACCAGGATACTTTCGTGAGCTGTTTTTTCATCGATAAATGTCCCAGCGGAAGTGGATGATGAACCCCTTGCCTCGCCATCTCTCAAGCTATGCTCATCCCTAGCAGAAAATATTGGGACATTCTTTAAGTTGAGTTCTATAGCTTCCAGCGGAAAACTCGGCCGAGCAAACGGGCTTGATAATCGAACTTTAGATGAAGGTTTTCGAATACTTCTACTAGAATATGTTCGAGGGGTAGATGAGGGTTTAGGTGTTTGCGATCCCAATGTAGTTAATGTTGGCGTCCGAATGAAACCTCGCGTATCCGGCGTAAAAGAAAGTGCGTCTGAAAAGGATTCTACTGCTGAGTGGAATGATGGTGCATGTGAGCTCGCTGCCCTACGACTGCTTGCTGCTCGGCCTGCAGACCTACGGAAAAAGTTAGGTGGATGTAATTTCCTAAAGGAATATACGAGGGAGTCACGTACCCTGTGGCGAGAAACAAGTTTTTGCTTCTCGAGCTCGTTGTAATTTGAGATGATTTTCCGCAATCAATCGAGCTCCCCCCAAATATTCTATATCTCTCATCATCTAATACTTTTCTAGGTAAGCATTTGTTATAAGGAGCCACCGCAGAGTACATACCATGGATAGGCGTAGGCAGCCCAGGCAATGGAAGAGTAGGTTCTGTTTGGTCCATATCTTCATTATAGAGACTGCTCCTCCGACTCCCAATGCCCTCGAAATCATCCCTTGAAAGAAAATTCGCCCTCCCCGTTCTATAATCACTCTCTCTGACATGTTTCATTTGAGAACTGCGGTGCTTCGAGAACTCTTTTTTCCTTCCGAATGCAGTCATTTTTAAGGAAGTCTCAAGATACCCCCTTGTCTCTGCTTCACCTGCATCTTGCCTAATATCAACACAGGCCATCGTCAAATCAGGAAGTGACAATGATATCCGTTCAGAATTTTTTTCGTCCGCGAGATCATTCAAAATGAGAGATATTTCACCGCTAGTGATTCGGAATGCTAATGGGTCATCGTCCAGATGAAGCCAGATTTGCATGGCTTTGACGTTCAGTCTAACGAAGGAAACATCGTGGATAATAACAATGTTCCTTAGTGGTATAGGCAGAGCATTCTCGATATCCTCGAATGCAAATATGAAAGCTTTAAGCGCAGATAAAGTTGTATGGAGGAATTCGGTGGTGCATTCCCCTGCGACTGAGCCAACGCCAATATCCCAGTTACAGATATAAGTGGGCTCAGTTGGCGGGAGTCCAAACAATCGATGACCATATATCGTAAGTCCATCGACAAACAACTGCGAGGTATGGGAGGAGCTCGTAAGAGATGCGGATATTGGACTAAGGTCCAGTTGAAGATCTGTATACATGAAAGTAGTTAGTTCATCCGTAACGATAGATAAAGACGAGATACAGACCCATATAGTAATTAGTGAACCTCATGTCCATCCCCACAACCGCCACACCTAACTTAATCCCTTCTTCAGCGCCATAAATCTTTTTCGGTAACACAACAGAACAATCCTTGGCATCCAAATTGAGAATCACGTCCAGATCGTTACTCTTTATAGCTCCGCCATCCGCAAGGGCAAGTGTTCCACCCTCCTCCCGTTGCTTCTGCCATTCTTCGAGCGTCTTGAAGTGTAAATTCTCTCCAAAATAATTCTCCCTGACAATCAGGAAGTATCGAATCAGAAACCCGAATAACTTCAACTCCAAGCCTACGCCTATCATATCCAAGAGGAGTGTATCAACTAGACCCGGCTCAACAGCTGAGTAGAAATTATAGCTTCCCTTAAGCCTAAGTTCTTCAGCACTCCCTAACTTCATCCCCGCCTCTGGCCCCAAGAAGCTATTCCAGGTATTCCAAACCGGCTGCCTCACTCCCAATTCCAACCTATTTCTTCGTCCGCCAGAATCATCGAGCCAAACATCAAATACCACTGTATTATCATCCGGCCTGAACCTAGTCATATCCAACACTACACTACCTCGTAACCCTCCGGCTCCCCTGAGTATTATGAATGTATTATCCTCAAAGTCGCTCGGGTTATTAATGATGTTCTGATCGTTGACATTTATGCAAACTTCAAAAGTATCCTCGAACCTCAACCCAATCTCATAGACAAATGGTGTGAAGGCCAAATATTCTGTGGGTGGCCCAGAGGACCAATCACCAATGAGATCAGTCAGCAATGTGACATGCTCCCGAAGAATAAATAATTTGAGTCCCCGAGATAGAATATCAAATCTCCATATGTGTTTTGCATTCCACTCCAAGGGACCGCTAAGATCACACTCGAGAGACTGATTGTCCGCTTTCCAAAAAAGACCGTGGTTAACACTAGACCTAACCTCTGGTGTTTTCAAGTCTAGGTTTAGTTTATTGGTCCATCCATCCTTCCCGGGCACCATAGACATATCATAGCTTATGGTACTTTCCGGGCCAACCTTTACTTCAATCCAACCAAATGGCCTCACTTCACCATCGTTCTTTCGGCCGTGGTATTTCCTATCTTTGCTTTCTTCCCTAGTCGGAACCCTCAAGATCGTTGAGCTCGACAGCTCCACAAACAACTTAAACTTTGTAGGGATACGGTCTTGCCCCGGCGTCAATCTCTTTGCCGGAGTGGAAGTTTTAAAAACCCTAGGGAAAAACATGTTTTGCAGGAAAACCCTTTGCCGATCTGCCCAAGGGCCATAGTGAATTGTACCTCCGTCAAATGCCAAATCGATACCCCATGCTGGAGGTGAGTACTGAGAACCATTGATATCTTCCCCTAGCCCATTTTCCGACGAACTTATAGCACCCGAAGTAGATGCTGTAGATGGAGGCGGGACAGACCCCGGTGCATCCCAATACAGGCTCAACCTCCCCGAGGGGCAGTCCACCAGGGTCGTTACCTTCGCATATTCGGCAGGTTCAAACTTCCACCTTTCTTCTTGTTGCGACTCGTCCAGATACCTGCTCAGACCCATCCACTTATCCTGCACAGCTCCAGTACCTCCACCTTGTTTCTTCTTTGTTTCAGATTCATGCTTTACCGAAGATGTGAGCGATTCGGCAGAGTCGCTAAACACCGGCAACAGGTCATGGAGCTTCTGCCGACGGTTACGCTGTGCATGCGGTGCCTTGTTCAGACTCTGACTGTCATTGGAAAGAAGCTTGGAGCCACGTGAACTCAGCGGTTCTTTGTAATCTCTGTTGGTTTTCATCTCAACTATTGGGTGCGTGAACGAGAAGTTAAATAGTTGCTTATATTTATCGATAGGTTGCGACTGTGTGATTGCATATTATTAGCAAGGAAATTACTCTTTATGCGTAGAATCGAAGGTTGGAGGGTTAAAGGGAGTTAAATGAAAGGAATATATAGCGCTATAATACTCTCTACAAAATATTGATACCACTGAAACCCCGCCGAAACCATCACAAAAAAGACCTTTTTACATACCCTAGTAGCGTCAATGTATGCATCAGCCTTTTCGAAATGAGCAACCAGAATGCTTGGCACGTTGTTATTTCCCATGACGATAGCTCCACGATTAATCTCAACTTTGATCGGTAGCATACGTAGCATTACGGTTAGCTTCTCCTCTTCCATGCTTGTGTCCTGCGCCGACTTTTCCCCTGTATGGCCGTTATTTCCCATTAGCGATCCTACGGAGGTACGTCTAGCTGATATGGACTCCGTTTGAGCTTTGGACCTTGACCCCTTTAGAGTCGAAGTATCCTCGCCATGAGATTCCGCTGTGTCAAATTGCCCCCCAACATTCCTGCCACGATCCCCCCGAGAAGGATTTCCACCGCCTGGCTCCGCCCCCGCCTGTGCCATCTGCTCCATCACGTAGTCATACGCCGGACTATGGTTGTAGATGAACCATTCAAGCCCCTTCAACTCAACCAGAATTCTACACGGATGCCCCCCGCTTTTCGAATTCCCTCCCACCCCACTTTCAGCAACATCCCGTCCCCTATTACCAGCTCCAATGTTAACATGACGCACCCTCCGCAACCAGTAGCGCCAAGTAAGCTGTCCGCCGACAATTACGATAGTTTCGTTCGGGCCATGATACGTGACTCTCCCGAAAAAAACCCTTCCAGCGAGAAGTGAAATCTGTAGCGACTGTATGTCAATATAGTGTGGTAGACCCTTCCACCTGAGGTAGATCCGGACAAGGAGCGAAAGTATCTTGGAAAACGTGCGGTTGAAGTAGAAGAGAAAGAAAAGAGTGCTAGTAGCCCGTTAGCCGCCACTCCTGACAAGAAAGGATGACCCCAGAGCACCTACACAACGCCGCAAACCAAGAGCTCAACTAGAAAGACCCTACAAGCTAATCAGTAAAGCTGACATTGAACAGACACGTAGAAAATGCGGATAGGGGGGGAACAAACCAGTTGAACCTGGGGATCGGGGCTTCCATACCTGCAGCACCTGGTGGCTATACCAAAAGGAAGCTGTAGAGAATAGAGTACAATACAAGTTGGGGCTCTGAGGTTTTTAATCCAGCGAAGATCCCCGCTGCATTGCACGGCGATGTGACAACCTTTGAGTTAACACATGTAAACTTAGAAGCGTTGCCTCGCGTGGCCCGTGCGTCAAGAAATGGCTTGATCACGTGGAACAGAATCCCGCCTCAGCGTTGAGTAGGGTTGCAATGGTTCTGTTGTTCCCTAAATTTTGGCCGCCGCGAGAAACAATGGTCGAGGGAAAAAAGGATTTTCAGAAGCACGACCATCCCTAATTACAGCAACACCGTCATCTGTATTGATTCTACAGTAATTCTCTGTGGATTCTCTGAAGGAACAGCCAAACGAAGAAGTTCCAGACCGGGAACATTCGTTTGAAAATGTTGAGACTCCACATGGCTGCCAGTCCTGTCATAAGGAAACGCAAGCATGAGTGATGTTTCATGAGTTCTGCTGTGGAAGGGTGTCAGAACTTGCCAAAACCCGGGCATTTTATAGAAACTCTCCGATAAAAAGATGGGCGCAAAAGGGTACCTACTGAAAATTTGAATTTTGTTAGGGATTGGTAGGCAAATCTACGAGATACACAGAGCAACTGAGAGTATTCGGTCCTGCCATGCTGCTCCTCCTACGGTATGATACAAGTACTCCTCAGTCCCAGCGCGGCCAGGCTCATATGTTCTATCTATCATACATCTTGTTTTTAAGCACAGGAGGTATTACTTATAATTCAAGAGTCGGCTCTTCATATTCAATAAGTTATGGACGAGGGTCCACTTTTTCTGAAAATAGATACGAGCTCTTTTACCCCATGCTTAATCTATCTTATCACAAGTTCTCGCGGAGCTAGTATTACCGGTATTTTATCATCTCTGGATAAGTGTACTGGGTTGTGATGTTTTTTTGTTTACTTATTACAACACCTACCGCACTTGAGCACAGTAGACTACAGTACAGTACGAGTACCGTACCGTATGCACACGGTCGGCGGCGAGAGAAATGGGAACGCGAAAAAAGTAGATTAGTCATCGCTTGAAGATGCTCAAAGGGGGGTTCCAGCATCCAGAGTCACACGGCATCAAGAACTTATGATAGAAGTAGAAATAATCTAGAGGTTAACTTGCTCAAGTGCCGGCACTGTAGGGCGCAACACCGGCACTCTGCTGCGCTTTTTGGTGGCTCTTCTGTCTCTCTTTCAAGGCTTAGACTGTTATCATACAGGGCTGGTGTTTTATCATGCGACTTCCACAGAGCACCCTATTTCTAAGACTAGTCTATCAACTACCGCCTGCTGTCCAAGCCACGTTGCGATCATCAGTCATCAAATGCGTAAAATCTTGGGGGAATGGACAATACCAATCACTGTTCCTCCAATAGACCCTAAGCCATGTTAGAAATCTATTGGATCGAGCTTCGCAAATCTTTCGAGTCGACTCGAATCACCTTCAACCGATGGTTATCAAGGAAATCTCTTTAGGGCTGAGGGTCAGGGCTAAATGGCCTCGTGGTCCGTGTTATTCAATCCCTAGAAACAAAAAACGGGAATGACGTTTGACTCGTGAGTAGTACCCAAATTACCCTGTATACAGTGTAATTCATCACCGGTTCTAAGCACCCGAAAACGCGCCTCGTAATGCCCCCAAGGGCCCCCCCACCCACACAAACCTTGGATTCTGGACGCACGAGACCTTCTCACCATGGTCATCCCCACTTCTAGATAACGGAATAACTTCTTTAAGGCTCTACCCCCCCTTGTATCGACACCCGATACTCCTTGGAAGTTACCTTCAGGAGCTATCATCAACCTCAAATCACTATCGGCATGCATGCTAGAACAGAAGGCCTCGATCCCGGGGGAAGTGGAACCTCAAAACTAAGTATCGTAGCCTTATCTTCATAGCAGGACAGGCTACTCAGCAGATAGGCTAACAATGGCTCCCGGTAAATAGGTCGAGCCGCGATTACTGTTGCTGGCGTGGCTTCTCTTGTAGCTACATTGCTATCTTGCTTGTAACTCCTTCAAGACCCTCAAAATCGCTATAAACAAGACTAATTATCATGCCCACAATTTACCTTGGATAGCTCAATATGGCTTCAACTGTACAGTAGTCATTCTTCTACTGTTCCTGCTCTCTAGCTGACCACCATTTATAGGAAGAACTACCGGAAGCCCCTCCTACAGCGTTACGTCGTGCGCATTCTTCTCATGGTTCCAATTTACGCTATATCCTCCTGGGTATCACTTATTTCACTCAGGGTCGCTTTCTTTGTTGACCCAATCCGCGACGTATACGAAGCTTTTACGATCTACACCTTCTTCCAGCTACTCATCAATTTCTTGGGCGGGGAGAGATCTTTGATCATCATGATGCATGGGCGAGCACCAAAAGAACATCTTTGGCCAATGAACTATATATTGCCTAAGGTCGATATTAGTGATCCGCATACCTTTCTAGCAGTGAAACGAGGTATTTTACAGTATGCCTGGATGAAACCTGTTCTTGCACTCGCCTCCATCGTCATGAAAGCTACAGGGACATATCAGGAGGGCTACGTAGGCCTCAGAAGCGGTTACTTTTGGAGCGGAATTATTTACAATCTGTCCGTTACTCTCAGTCTTTACTCGTTGGGTATGTTCTGGGCATGTATGTCTCGGGATTTACAGCCATTTAGGCCGGTTCCTAAGGTAAAAATTTCCTTGGCCCATTGACTATAATACTCGCCAGTTGCTTACACTTCTACGCCAATTAGTTCCTTTGTATAAAGCTCATTATCTTTGCGTCTTATTGGCAAGGGTTCTTTTTATCGATACTCGTATGGTTAAGGGTGATTCATGATGTTGGATATTACACTCCTGACAATATTGCCCGTGCAATCCAAGATGTCTTGATATGTTTTGAACTCCCAGGGTTTGCTATAGCTCACTGGTATGCGTTTTCGTGGAGAGACTACGCGGATCATACAATCTCGGCTGCCAGGCTCACTGTTTACTTTGCTTTCCGTGATGCGTTTGGCATTCGCGATCTCATTGAAGACTCGAAAGCCACTTTTGGGGGTGAAGGATATGAATACCGCCTTTTTGATCCTGGTGAAAACGTATTGGCGCATCCAGAATCCGGTGCACGAGTGGCAAGAATGATGGATGGTCTCAGATACGAAAGAGGCGGCAAGGGCAAGTATTGGATCCCCAAACCCACAGCCAGGACTGGTTTGCTTGGTGCGCCTGGCCCGAGTGATCGTTCGAGGAGTATCAGTGTTGGAGAGGCAGAGCGAGGCGATAACAGGAAGTGGAGAGGAGGGGACTATGGCGCGCTCCGTGAAGCAGAGATTGACGAAGATGATGAGGCACTCTACGATGCTGCAAGGAAACTGGAATATGGTGACTATAACGTACATATTAATCCCTACCCTTGTGCCCCACGCCTACGTCACTAAAACCCCCAGCTCGTCTAGTATCCGGTAATTACTGCGCATGAGCCGTGGAGAAACCATCGGTGCCGTTATATGCCTTCCTCTTCTGGCCCAGCTGTTACGACGACTGCAACGAACCAAGCTCTGCTGCGGCCGAAATTGAACACCAGAAACTCGAACCACCGCTCTGGGAAAGGGAAAGGGATCGACTCTCCATCAAAAGCCCCTTTGCTGGGTCGTAATAAATCGGCATCGTCCTCTTCCACAAACTTTTCCGATAGAAGCGGACTAGTAGATTTGGTAGTAGAAGACACGGAGGCTGAAGAAATTGAAAGGGTAAGAGCAAGGAAAGAAGGAGGTCCAGGCTGGAACGAAACCGAACAAAAGAGATATGTCAGAGTCTACCCGGACGAGCATATGGGTGAGGAGGTAAGAGAGGGCTTCGACCCCCATAATACGTCAATGACTGGCCTAGTAGAAGGCGATAACAAGAGGGACAAGTTTGAAATTGGGGGCGAAGGTGAAGAGGAGGAAACCGATTCGAGGGGGGACAGAGACTTCAGAGCCGGATTGCTGGATGAAGGGCAGGGTATATGGAAAGATAGTAATAGAGGTGAAGATGCCGCGCCCCTGAGTTACGGGAGTATGCGAGAGGAGATAAATATATGGGGACGACCTGACTGAGACTAAATTTGGATGGGTATTTATTTTCGCTTAGTCTACTAGACAAGCTTCCTTTTTCTTTTCTTTCTCTCTTCCTTTCCTCCCTTTCTTCTTTCCATTCCCAGTTGCTTCTTCAGGAGTTCAGTTTCCTGTTTTTTATTCTTGTTAGTTTCTCAGAAATATCTCGCGTCACCATTTTTTCTATTTCGTTTCTCTTTCCTTGGTGGATCGGTTGGGGTTCGAGCGTTGGTTTGGTCCGGATTGGTGATGGTTTGGACACTGTAGGTGGTTCTGAGTCGAGGGGTTTTCGTTTTTGTAGGTGTGCATCATGGTTTTTAGCATCAGTCTCGTTATGGATGGTCACACCAGTATACGTCTTCTGGAAGCTGTCATGTAAATTAATGCCAGCTATGTAGACAATGGGTGGGTCAAGCTGGTGCGAACAGTAGCCTCGCGGCAGCCTTGTCCTCGTATATTGCTAAATAGTCAATACCGAGTGATACTTTGTGATTAGTTGGGCTTTCCTGCAATCGAACTCCTCGAGAGCCTTATCCACCGAATATAGACTATTATTAATACATGCCACTCCATCACAACAAAAGCATACAGATGACCGCCGTCAAATCTTTGTTCTAAAACGACGATGAACAGTAACTAAACCAAGAGGTATCTTAAAAAACAGGCTAGAGTATGCAAATAATGACTACCTTCAAGTAATGTATGAATGAAGGAAGAGAGGAGGGAAGGAACGAGGAAGAATGAAAAGAACGGGGGAGTCGGCCAAAAACGAAGAAATACAAAATTTAATAAGGGAAACCAAAGCATACCATGCCCATTTGACAGTCTTTAAGCCATTTTTTTAAATATATTTTTTTAAGGAAATAAAAAGATCCAAAAGTTGGAAGAAGAAAAAGAAATCGCTGGCATAAACAAAATGAATATGTATTGTATTCGAAAGACTTAGGTCATCTCCATGTCCCCTTCATTAGCATCTACATCCCCATCCGAGAAGGGTGCATGGCATTGGGCTTTATGCGAACTTGTGTCTTCGTGCTCTTCGCAATCCTCCAACCTTCTCTTGTTCGCACCCCTAGACAGGTTGATACCACGAATATCCACATACTGCCCAGTACTACTGGTATCAGCACCAACATACTCCATTCCGTTCTGACGTGCGGCCTGCCTCCTGGCCATCCATATCGGCTCGTAGCTGCTAAGCAACCACTTCATGGGATCATCAAAGCAAACACAAAATCTGCGACTCTGCACCATCTGTATCGCCTGAACCGCCGAGCCGCCAAGGTGCTGCATGACGTACGCCGCAGCAACAGAAGCCGACCTCTCATTGCCGCTCTCGCAGAATAGCAGCGTCCTGCCCCCCTGCGGCAAGGGCTGTCCAGGGTGCTCAGTGGAGTATCGTTTCTGGAAAGCGTATAAGTCCTTTCCGCTGAGCGGGAGCGGGAGCACCTGTCTAATGTGCGATGGTAGTCCCTGTAGATAGTGTTCATCGATGATGTCCGTCGCGTGCTGGAATTGTGCGATGAGTTCTTGGTTACCGGAGACGTCGATGGACTCGTAGCGGATTCCGGGGAGCTGGTTTGCCAAGAGCTTAGCTTTGGCCGTCATTGATGAGCGGACGGCGAGGAGGAGGGTGATGTTCTGCGCTTCGATGAAGGTCGTGTTTCTCGCGGCTGAGAGCGGGCCCAGCCAGAGGTGTGGTAGGATCTGCTGGGCTTCGCGACGCGACTCATATCTCCAGTCTTGAAGTGTTGTTTGTGTCATCAGGGACCCTGGTGGGGTAATCATGTGATCGCTATCGCCATTGTTGTTGTTGAGCTGGGGTCCATTGGGAGTTCCACCGTTGCTGTTGTGGGGTCTCAGGTGTTCGAAATTCCGGACCTCCGGGTGCAAAGTTGGTGGGGGGATCAGGATGCGGGGGGGTGCGGGGAGACCGGCAGTGTAGACGTTCGTAGGTTGGGCTGTGGAACCGGAGGACGGGTATTGCTGTTGCGAGGAAGACATTATCGCTACCATGGCTTTCCTCTGATCCCCTTCTTAAACTCCGGCGGTAGGCTCAAGGAGAGGAATTGAGCAATGTGGGGGGTAGACTCGAACGTTGGCTTGAGAATTATGCTTCTGATCCAAGGCGAGCCACCAGATTGACCTGTGGGAAGAGAGGGGGGGAAAGAGGTATAGTTGACCGGGGGAAAAAAAGACCGAAGGAAGGAGACAGAAGCGGAATCCGCCGAAATGAAGGAAATGCGCACAAGAAATAAAAATAAATATTTACGGATTTATAGATAAGTGTTTGTTTTCTCTTCTTCCCTATCGATCAGGGTGACGGATGTTTGTGGGGTGAATAGAAGGTCCTCGTACCATGTGAACAGGGGAGGGGGGGTAGGTGAGATTCCTCGAAGATTTCCTCGTTGAGGTGGTGGCACTGGTGGGGGGGGTTTGAGAGAAGTTGGATTTTACCGGTATTATTCACTTGTTGTTGAGTCGCATAGTATGATGGATGGGTCTTGGCGTTTTTTTTAGGAACGCAGGGGTTGTTTGGCGCGGCTTAAACATGCACAGACAGGGGGCCTTTGCACTTTACCTCAACTTCAGATGCCCTTAGACCCCAGTTTTTTTTTTTTGCGGGGGTTCTCTTCGGCGAGGTAATTGTGTGATGGCTTTCGCTGCAAGGCTCGGGTCAGTCGTTGGCGAGGGGGTGAATCCTCCTTTCAGTGGGAATGAGCACCCTCAAGACATCTCACGATATCAGCGCTTGGGAAAATTTCTTCGCCCAGACGGGGGGGGTCTCGAGAGTTCGTCTTCCAGAGTTTACCCAGGTCTCATCGGATATGTTGGTATTGGTATTATATGGTAGTTGGAATGTGGGTATGATAATTATTATTATATTATGGGAATTGCGGCTTGGTCATATAAACTACTTTAGAGAGTCTTTCCCTGGTGTCAGTTATGTTACAAATCGGGCCAATCGAGTTCTTGGGCGTCCGACCATTGGTCGATACAAGTATATATGTGGGTGGGTGTAGCTCTCTTTAGATCATTTGATGTGTGCTCGAGTACTGTACGAGTACAGTATTTGTACTGCAGATTGTCATTGCGGCATTGATAGGTAGAGTGCAGTGAGCTCACAGAAAGGCTACATGGTAAATAAAATAAGTTATGAGGTTCGAAGTCTTTACGCATATCCCGCAATACATTCTAGACCTGCCGTGAAAGCCAAGCTTCTTTTAACCCTTGGAGATTAGAGCATTAGCCTTTCAGTAGCTACGACATTAATTCTGTGGCTGTCCAGACGTGAGATTAGGAGAGATCACATGAGGAGGAAGGCGGAATGTCGTGTGCAGACATGAAGGACCCAATCGCCAACGGGTACCTGCGTGAGCAGATACTGAAACCCATATACAGTGAAACCTCCGCTAACTCCACCCTCCGACATATCCAGGACTCCAATATTTCTATCCCTTGTAGGGAGAGAGGTTTTGTTCTATGAGCCTTCCCCCTCTAACTTCTAGGGCTCTATTAATTCCTCTTTCTAGGCTGTAAATCTTCCTAAATTCTAGGATTTGTTAATGTATCATAAATCATTTTTTTTCTTCATATAATTTCTCAGAGGAGAGGGTATCCGACAGGTTTTTAGGGGATAAATTGCCCAAGGAGGGCAGAAATGAAAACAATTCAACCTTTCTACCTCTACCAGACTCTTACTCTGAACAAAAAAAAAACACCCTATCATACCTCGATCAACACCTCAATCAACATGATAGGGTATTGGTTTCAAGTGTGTATGATATTCTTAGGATAGATTTGGGTCCATAAACTGGGTAAAAGACATCGTTCTTCCATATGAGCAGGTTGGAAAATAATGTCTGCACCTATCATGAATTATCACTCATTTTCTTTTCTGGCACCTGCTCTTCTGCCAAGAGTATTCCCTACTTTACACCCCCCTGTTATGATACTTCCATGAGATCAAGTCTCCCGGGGAGCTGGAGATAACGGAGGTTTCACTGTACTCGAGTATCTCATATCACCTTGATATCCCAGCATAGCTAGCCTTCATTGGGCGGGGAGGTTGTTTTGGGCGGGGCGGTGAATCATCTAAGCGCCGGAAAGAATGGATATATCATACGAATACCATACTCTAGAGCTGAGGTGAGTAGGGACACTCCAGATTGTTGACACCAAGAGAAGAGAAAGAAAAAAAAGAGGGTAAAATGATTATAAAAAAAATGATTATAGGTTGTCTCTGCACCCCTATGCAGATACAAAAAGGTTTTTAGGACAAAATATATAATATACAGAGTATTTTATTTTTATTTTTTGGAGTATCTAGTATTCTAAAAGTAGCGGTATTTCGCCAATTTTCTCACTTCGAAAATTTCCCACAGTATCATACTAGTAATGGCTAGAGAGCATAAAAAATCATTCTACACGATCCGGGTAACTTTGTGACACGCTGACATGTTCACAAAATTGGGACACATAACCAAGCCTGACGCTGGCAGAAAGCCGTTTTCGGTGGGATAGGACTCTCCGTGCTGACCGCTGACCGCTGACCGTCCCTAATGACCCGAGTTCTGGAGTGCTGTAGTCTATCATACTAGCATAGGAACCTCAATCGACGTTTAGCTCTACGGTAAGAGAAGGTTCAGAAAAGTACTGTACTGTACTGTACCTGTAGACTTAGTAGTTCTTGATAAGTAGCACAGTATAATTTGCTCGTATTCGATTCCTTCTTTGAGCCCGGTGCGTGAGTTTGATTACCTGTATGATGTCATACTTCTGCCGGTAGGATTTGAACAGTTCTGCGTCCCCACCGGCCTTCGGTCCAATACGACGCACTTTGAGAAGATTATGTGTTCTCAGCCATCCTTGGGCTCTGGCGGGGCTAATATTTCGCCCCCTATTGTCCTCAAGTTGTGGAGGATGTTAGACCATCAGAAAATCGGAGAGCCACCGCATAACTTATTCTCTTCGCACCCGTTCAAGTTAACTGAAACATGACTGCCATAATTTTATCCAAAATGTTACTATACCCACACAATTATCCTACCTACTCGCTCCAAGCACGCGCATTAGAAAAAAGTACACTCAACCACCAGCATTGCACCCAACCACGCACATCATCCCAATACCTCCCGCCATTGCCGGTCCCAACCGCTCG